TTGGTACTTCAGAGGTATTCAGAAGGGCTCCAAAGGGAATTTAACAAGGCTAATTCTAGCTGGGAAGCCAGACAAGCCATGGAAGAAGACCCAGTGACTATGGTCATGTGAAAAGAGGCCTGGGCAGATTAAGGAGATAGGTGAGCATTTAGAAATACCAGCAAGAACGACGCAGGAAAGGTAGTGCCAGTAGCTTACATAATACCAGCCTGTAAATGCAACAGGACAACAGCAACGTTTGCCAAAGCATTGTCAACGGGATAGAAGGCTTCTCAGCGATGATTGAGAATAAAATAAAACGTACTGGCATAAGGACAGAAATGACATGATGGGGAGGGCTGGTAGAAAGAGGAAAGCTACCAAGGACAGATTTATTTTGGTGCACAAGGAAAGATGTTGCTGAATTTCATAATTCCTGCCCAGGACTGAAGATATATGTGCATAGTCATCAGAAGAGAAAGATAGATTAATCCAATAACTTTGCTATGTACACATCTCTGCTGCTGCTCACACTTTCTTGGCCACAAGGATACTGATAAATATATTCCTCTGCTGTAAATGTAGGTGGTCTTCACAAGACTTATCTGTCTTAGTTGTTCAGCTCAAACCACAGGACATAAGTTGTATCTCACAATGAGCCTTTCCCTGTCTGGTCCATATACGTGGTATGGAAGCTTGTTCACTCACATGAGGCCAAGACTGCTTAAACATGAAACATCACTGCATGTCTTAGAGTTCAACAGAGATGCAGTAATTATTTTCACCTAATAATAAAAATAAAAAAGGCTGGAAATCAAAAGACAATCCCTTTCATTGTACCACTGGAAACATTATTGTGAACTGTCTTTACCAAACCACAGGAAAGAGCAAGCGAAAAGGACACTGTGGTAGAGTTTTAATTCAGGCCATGTAATTTAATTCTTAATTATATTAGATCAAAGGGAAACTGAATTAAAAAAAATACGTGTTGGATTATGTAGAATGGAGTTGTTGTTCTTAATAGCTCTGGAAAGATGTCATGAGGCTCCATCAATCAGAACAGAAAAACCAAAGAGCAAGGATAAATCGAAGGTTAAGTGCATGGTTCCGAGGAACACCCTAACCACCTTCCTTTTACTATTATAAACCAGATGGGTTTGTGTTGCTGGACCTGTTAAGAAAGAAAAACAGCAATCTATATTCAGACAGGCTTTCTGCCTATAAATTTCCCCTGATGTATACAAGCATCTTGTATTTTGCCATCTCGGTTAACAGACTGTCACTATTTCTCTGTGTGTTGATTTTCTAACAGAAAGAATAATCTTATTCTCAAAGGGCTGCCTATTAATTTATTTCTAAACTATTTTTTAGCACAGGAAAAGAGAGCACTCCAATATTTTTTCATTGTTTCTGTTCAACAGAAGGGCAGAACAAAAGGAAAGGAAACAAAGCCCCAAATCCATAGAGAGATCAAACTCCTTCCTGATGTAATTCAAGCGAAATAATTTAATACAGCCCAGAGAAATGCTCAATCCATGTTTTTTGCTGTGATGAACACAGGAGCAGTAAATGTCCTAAATGTTTCAGGAACCTCAAATAGTGCAATGTCTATACGGCAGGACTCAAGATGGAGATTTTGGACTAGAGGAGAATTTTATTTTTGCTTTGTTCGTTTCCTTTTTGTTGCAGGGCCTGGAGACTGTACATCCTCAGGGAGCCACGCCGTTCCTTTCTAAATCAAGAGGTGGTCCGAGTTTGGTTTCAGTGGGAGCTGGAACGGGCCGCACATACATAGTAAACATACTGTTACCTAACAGTGTGTTATTATATCATGTGATCACTGGAAAGGTGTACCATCAACATATTCCAGTTGCCTAATTTTTCCTTAACTGATTTGCTGCTGCAGGCTATTTGGTGCCATTAGTTCAACAATTGTGCTCTTTGAAAGGACACTGCTAATTTTGTCCTAAAACTTGCATTTATAAAAACAAACTTTTATAAAACCTGAAACCGAAGGAAATGCTGTGTGCTATTTTTAAATTCCAGTTGTTTGCAAGCTGATAAATGCCCTCTGGCAATACCTGACTTCCCACACAGCAGCAACTTGAAGCTACATTAAACAATATAATCAAAACTAAAACTGCTTCTGTTGCTTTTCATTGACTTCGTTGCTTGACACTGACCAAAATATCATTACTTGAGTTTTCATTGCGTAGGCAGCATCAGGCTGTATGCCTACAGTCAGCAGCAGAGGCAACAGAAGCCCTCTCTGGTGTAGTGGCACGTAGGCCAGCTCTGAAAGCAGCATTCAAGGTGTTTGAGTCGCTTTGGCGCCTACGGTTTGGGAACCCTCTGCTGGATACTGTTCTTAATAAATCTGATACGCTATGGTGTCTCTCATGCCCTTATAACAAATAAGATTTCATTCAAAGTGCAAGGTACTATTCTGCTCCCAGGTTATGCTACCATAAGTTCCCATTCATGAACACCCTCCCTACCTTTTGTGATGTCACTTGAGCTTGCTGCTTTGGCGCCTACGGTTTGGGAATCGTCTGCTGGATACTGTTCTTAATAAATCTGATATGCTATGGTGTCTCTCATGCCCTTATAACAAATAAGATTTCATTCAAAGTGCAAGGTACTATTCTGCTCCCAGGTTATGCTACCATAAGTTCCCATTCATGAACACCCTCCCTACCTTTTGTGATGTCACTTGAGCTTGCTTTTCCGAATGCTTCTGCTCTTTTCTAATGCAGTATAAATGGTATAAATGAAAAAAAGGTTTTCTGTTTCCTATAATCACTCCAGTTGAGAAAAGCACCAAGTTCTGAATGGAATCGAAAAGCAGCTGATCAGTTTTGGGCACATGAGGCTGAGTAGGGAAATCAGGGCGGTTCTTCCCGCCCCCCTCCCCTTCTAAGCGTGGATTAAATGGCACTTTGTAAATAAGAACTGGGTGAATTGTGTGCCAGGTCACGTCCCGCCTACATCCTCGCCAGCGGTAATAATTTCGGAAAGATTTAGCGCACACATTAAAGGGTTCACGGAAGCGGTCCAGAGCGCTTCTAACGGCTTGGATCTAATTAGTCATTCAAGTTGTTTCTTTTTAAATAAGACTCGGAGGAGTGCGGGGCGGGGCGTTTCTCTCCCACCGGAGGAGCTCTTCCCGAGGCGGCGGGCAAGGCCGGGCGCGAGGAGCGCTCCCCGGTCGCTGATCCCCTCAGGCCGTTGTGGGTGCTGCGGACCCCCGACAAGCCCTCTCTGCCGGCGCCCCCTCGCACTTCGCGAGGGGCGAAGCCGCG